TAAGGTAACTGGCCTATGTCTGTGACTCTAATTGCCCTAAATGACTGGCCATGCCCAAATCTCTCCTTCTGCCCCTTGGACAGTGGGCATTCAGTCTCAAGGTCTGTCAGAAGATGGTGGAGGGAATCCCATGGCCTGATGATTGTGCTTTGCATGTTTTGTCCAGTGCCAGATTCATGCACTGGGATGTGTCTAGGGCTGTAGGCTGTTCATTCACTCTCATTTCACCTGGGAGCAGTCCCTGGGGATTATAATGGTACCTAGCCTAGGGAAGTGTAGTCAACCAAGGGCCCGTAAGGTAGAAGGGAAACTTTGGTCAGGGAGTCAGTCAGTCATCCAAAGTCTTCTTTAAACCAAGGAGTTGTCACACAGTGTCCATTATAGAGTAATCTGTTACCTGATGTAGGGAAATGTCCCAAAAGACCAGAGCTAAGGAGGAAAAATTTGTTAGTCACAGCATCAGCATAACACAATACATTGTGTACATTAACATCTGCAGCCATTGTAAATATTGAAAGCAACTAGCATCCAAGTAGACACACACATGAAGCTTCTGGTTCTTGTCTTGTGGACTTGGTTCCTGGTACGACAGTAGACATACTCATATCCCTTAAGTTCTTCCGTCACTGGCTCAGGGGTCTGCCACAGACTATTACTGTACTTTTCTCCTCTGCTGCCTTTTCTCGGGAGCTTTCTGTTCAAGGTAGTCAGCTCTCCTTTCCGTAATCAGAGTGTGAAAATGTGGAAACAATTATTTAAACTAGAGGAGTGACCTGCTAGATGTACTAAACAGAACAACATAAAACCGCAGAGCAGTGTCTCCAGCCTTTAAGAGTAAATATTTTAAGGGAGGAGATGATTCTTGGAAATGACTTCCACGTCTAACAGCAGAAATGAAATAAAGCTCTGCTCCCTCTTCAGATTGTTTACATTCATGGCTTTCAGTTTGGGTTACCTACTTTATAATTTTCTGTCTTTTTCTTATTTCAGGATTATTGCTTGATTTATTATGTAGATTTCATTGTCATGTAGTTTTGCCTCACTCTTACAGGTGTTGTTAAGGACTTATGGACTGTAGTTCTCATGAACAAAAATCTGCAACTGGAAAGGCATTTTCAGTCTTTGTGGGTTTGAGTAACCTCTGACCCAAAGTGACTTAGGTTTTAGTACTACAAAGCAGCAGATTGGGGACTAAAGCATCTTTTCTGACTTCCATCAGGCAGGGATGCTGTGCCCCCTCTCCCATGGCTGGCCTCCCCAAGGCCTGCCATGCCCTGGGGAGCCAGGTGTGGGAATCTGTGCCCCCACTGTTCCACAGCCCCCATCTGTTGTATAATGGGGCTATGTGACCTACAGGTTTGCTAGACTCAGGAGTTTTGTGGCCACATCATTTGTTGGGTGCTTCCCCCGCCCTCCTGACTTAGAGCCGTGACACCAGCTGAGTCTTTACTTTTTAACCTGATGACTTTCAAAGATGCCATTCTTGGGTCCCAAACATGGCTGTGAAGTTTAATCTTGATGGCATTGAGGGACACATAGGGTCAGTGAATCCACCTCTGGTGTGGCAAAAGGCATTTTCATAAGACTGTACGGTATGATCTGTCTGACCAAGTCCATGGTGTTTCACTGAGGGGTTCAGTAAGTGAGTAGCTTACCAGAAGATACCCCCACATACACACACACACACACACCCAGGGAGATTAGGACACGTCTATTTGGAGAAAGTGGTCATTGGGAGTCTTTCAAGGTTGCATCTTTCTCTGTCCTCTTGTTTCTCACTGTTTAATATCTGCCCTGAAATGAGCAACTCTGCCCTATCATACCTTCCCGCCCCTCTCTGCCTTCCACTGGCCCACTGAACAGGGCCAGGCAAAAGGCTGGGATGCCAAAACTGTCAAAATGTTTCCATTGTTTCTGTCAAGTATTTCTGTTTAACACTCACATGCATATGCACACACACAAACACATGTACACATACAGATACATGAACACACACATACTCCCATGCAAACACACGTGCTCACACATATACACAAATGCACTCACACATAAACATGCACACACACACACACACACACACATACACACAAAACACCACTGTGGTTTAGATGGGATTCCAGTTTTGTTATAGTAACAGTATTCTGCTGTGTGGGAAAAGACTTCCTTTCATCTTCATGAATTTACTTTTTATGTACCTTGTCTTTCCTTAACTTCAGCAGTCTTACAGTTTCTAGCTGGTAAGCCTTTTGCCTATTGTACATTTTAAATGTATTACTTTGAATTTTATTCTTCCTGATTCTATTGTCAGTGAACATATTTTGTAATTTTTTTTCAGATTTTTAATTTCTAGTATATAGAAACACAATTGATTTTGAAAAGACTTATGTTTATGGGTGTTTGCATACATGTATATATGTGTACCTCATGTTTTCCTGATGCTTCAGAGAGGCCTGAAGAGTGCACTGGCTCACCAGGAGCTGGAACTATAAATGGCTGAGAACTGCTGTGTGGGTGCTGGGAATGCAACCCCAGTCATCTGCAAGAGCAGCCATTACTCTTAACCACTTAACCTTTGCTCCTGTCTCAACACAGCTGACTTTACATGCTGACTTTATATTATGCCGGATCACATGTTCTATAAACAAAGATGATGTTTCTTCTCTTGTTTGTTCATGGATATTTTATTTCTTTTCTTTCAGTTGCTCTGGCTAAAACTTTTAGCACCGGGTTGAAATAGAAGTGACAGAAGCGACTATCCATATTCTGGCATATTTTTCACCATTGAATGGTTTCTGTGGAGTCTCATGTTGGTCTTTATTATATTAGGAGGTTCCTTAAGCAGACATATATCTCATTTGTTTGCTTGTACAGCTATCCTTTTTCTCACATATTTTTTTTGTATTTTTTTTCAAAGAGGATGAACCAAGTTAATCTTTTTTGTTACTATGTGTGTTTTATTTCTATTTATTTTGATATTGAACTTTACTATGCAGCACAGATTGACCTTAAAGTTTCATTTGCATAACTGTCTGTGTTCTAGGATTATAGGTGTGCCCTCAAGTATGAGTTAATACTTATTATTTAATTATATGGTATATGTAGGTCTCATTCTTTCATTGACTGTCCTGTTTTCTCGTTCATGATGATTTATTTCCTAGTGTATGCAATACTGGTCCTTACTTTATCATTTGTGGGAATAGTTGTAACCCTAAGATTAAATATGTTCTTAAAGAGATAATACCAGGTACTGTTGAGTACTATAAATACAAATTACTTTAAGTTAATGTTTGGCTTTATTCATTATCTTTTCTGTCTATTTAGAAAATAAATATTCTGCCACCATAAAATTAAATCTATTGCTAACAATTTTTGTTGATATTATTCTATTGTGTGTGTGATGTTATTGTTTTTGTTGTTGTTTATGTTGTTTTATTTGAGACAGGTCCTCTGTGTTTAGCCCAGGCTAGCCTTGAACTCAAATGATCCTCTGTCTTTACCTTTCACAAGTGCTGGGATTAGTGCTTTGTAATCAATGCACATAAACCATTACAGCTAGAAATTCTTAGGGAAGATTCTATTTATTTATTAATTTAAAATCTTCTGCACTAAGCCTGACATGTAAGGAACATTGAAGGATGGACAGTTTGCTAGTTCCCACGCTGTAAGGGACACTGGAAGGATAGACAGTTTGCTAGTTCCCACGCTGTAAGGGACACTGGAAGGATAGACAGTTTGCTAGTTCCCACGCTGTAAGGGACACTGGAAGGATAGACAGTTTGCTAGTTCCCACGCTGTAAGGGACACTGGAAGGATAGACAGTTTGCTAGTTCCCACGCTGTAAGGAACATTGGAAGGATAGGCAGTTTGCTAGTTCCCACGCTGTAAGGAACATTGGAAGGATGCACAGTTTGCTGGTTCCCACGCTGTAAGGGACACTGGCAGGATGCACAGTTTGCTAGTTCCCACGCTGTAAGGGACACTGGCAGGATGCACAGTTTGCTAGTTCCCACGCTGTAAGGGACACTGGAAGGATGCACAGTTTCCTAGTTCCCACGCTGATATCATCCAGAGCACTGGGTGTCAGTTTCTCGTCTTTATACTACTTCTACAAATGTATTTCTGTCTTTTATGGGGTCTGTTCATTCTTTGCTGCACCTTGAAATCTATGCTAGTTCACTCCAGATTGTAGGTTGCTCTGAGTTAAGTATATACCTAAATACAAATATATGGGCCTCTGTTCTCTATTCAAGTGAGAGTCGGTCTTCTCATTGTGCTTGAATGGTTTAGTCTTCTCTTCGGCTAACGCAGTCTTTAAGTAAGATATCCATACATCCATGCAGTTCCAGGTGTTCTTTAAGAGGGAGAGTCTCTGCATATCTACTACACAGATGCTGTAAACAAAAACCATAAATCATTCTTTATATTCTGCTGTATGTAGGTGGCGATCAAAAGCTAATTTCAGTGTTATCATATCACATTTTGTGACTATTGCTCTGCTCTTATATTGACAGAGTAGACTTGTTACCTGGTGATTTGATGCTTAAATTGTGATATGGTTGGTGGTATTTTTCCATATTAAAATTTTTTAAATTATTTTTAATTAAGTGTATGCATGTTTGTATGTTTGTGGGTAGCAAGCCGTGATGCTGGTATGGCCAGAGGCTGGAAGGTTGGATCTCCTGAAGCTGGAGTGATTGTGAGCTGCCTGCTGTGGGTATAGGGAACCACTCTTGTGCTTTGCATTTTGACAAAGCAACTCCCCCTTATAGATACTTTGTAAACTAAGAAGGGATGCAGATAATAGTATATTTTTTTTGGAAGATACAGTTTATAAGAAAGACATTTATTTCTTTAGTCTACAAGGTGGAGTGGATTGTTGGATTGTTGTGAAGAACAATAACCTCTTTATTCAGCTGATTTTTATAATGAATAGGAAGCATATATGTTTGCTTTACCTAGTTTGCAGCATTAATAATGGTATGTCTTAATTTTTCCTACAGGTTTTCTTTAGGGGATGCTAGGAGGCCTCTCCATGAAACAGCAGTTTTAGTAGAAGATGTGGTTCACACACAACTAGTTAACTTGGTAAGATCACATATAACCCCATTTGGTATTTCTTTTTCTTTCTATTTTTATTGTACTTCCAACTCTACACATTAAAAAATTTTTATTTACAGCTAGATTTTTGGCTTTATTGACATATAATAATACCCATTTAAGTATATAATCTGATACATTTAATAGTGGGATGTTGCCATAACAACAGTATGTTCAGCCTTCGCTGATGTACCCCAGAGGCTTGTTAGAATTCTTAAAACCCTGTTTACTTTAGGATAAATAATATTTGCACAAATGGTGTGACAAATTCTCAACTGTTGTTCATCTTCCTCTGATGTCATTATCATACATAGCCATAACAGTTATGGAAACCTGGAAATAATTCTGGCACAATAATTTTTACAGCCTCATTCAAATTCCATCCTCTTTGCCACCAGAGACCCAATCAAGGACACCACACTGGCTGTTAGATTTAGTCGCTATACCTGAGCTGTCTCTTTCTGTCTCTGCTAAGCCTACAGGATTTTCTATTCTCTCATAACCTAAAAACTTTTGAGAAGTGGAGTGTCTTCTGGTTCTTTGGACTGCTCTTATAATTAGAATGTAATCACACATGTTGAACATGATTTTTTATGAACTGGTGGGATCTCCTCAGTGCAGCATAGCAAGGATGTCCTGTCTTACTGATGTGTCTTATTTTTACATTTCTTGGATACATATTGAAGGTGGAAATGCTGAGTTATTTTATTGTATAAATGTACTTGTTTTATTGGTTCATATTAAGGGTCAAACCCACGGTTTTGTTCATGCTAAATGCCTGCAATAGTACTGAGATATACTCTAAACCCATGTAACTGTTATTTTAAATATTCAAGTTAGGTTAGTAAAATACATTGGGACATATATGTTTATAGCTATGTAAATATTTTCTTTTTGAGTATTTTTTAACCTATTAGCATTATAACTTATCAGGAAATTTTATAAAATTATTACTATAGTGTTTGCACAGAAGTGATTTTTCTTTTCTTTCTTGTCTACTTATTACTTGATTTTCTTCTTAATTGAAAAGCTTTCCTGCACTTTTTTTTTAAATTACTTTTTGGGGTTATCAGGAAAGATATTTAATATTTAAATTCTTTCCTAGATGTCATTATCCAGTGTCATCATTATTCTTATTACTCAGGCTATTTTAGGGCTATCCAGTGGGTGCACATCAGTTAACTCACATCCCACATACATTAGAGACCTCAGCACCTGCTCTATGGCATATGGCACAAAGATATTCTTACATTGTGTTAATTTTTCAATTTTTAAAGTTTGCTGTTAAGATATTTTGTTTGGCTTACAATTATTTTTACTTTGCTATATTCAGGGACATCAATCTTTATTGATGTTGAATTTTGAATCATAATTTCTTTTTATATAATAACTTTGAGTGTTGTAAATAGGAGCGGCGGGGCTGTATCCCCAGCACCCTGGCCGCCTTACTAGCTTATGCCCCGAAATAACAACACACAAACTGTATTCATTTAAACACTGCTTGGCCCATTTCTATCTAGCCTCTTCTAGGCTAATTCTCACATATTAATTTAGCCCATTTCTAATCATCTGTGTAGCACCGGTCTTACCGGGAAGATTCTAGCCTATGTCCATCCTGGGTCAGAGCTTCATCGTGTGTGCCTCAGAGAGCAGAGCTATCTCCTGTCTGCCCGGGAGAAGGGAGCATGGCGTCTCTGAGCTCACTTCCTCTTTCTCCCAGCATTCCGTTCTGTTTACTCCTCCCACCTATGTTATAACCTATCAGGGCCAAGCAGTTTCTTTATTGCTTAACCAATGAAATCAACAGATTGATATATGACACTCCCACATCATTTGAGGAATAATTCATTTACGTTACTTTCTAGTTTTTTAAATTACTTCATTGTTTCCTTTATATCCTCAGTTCTCAATCCTTTTTTGGATATATGGAATCAATTTTGCCTTTTGTTGAATAGTCTCCCAGTTTTATTATAAACATTTGTTAAAAGTCTACCTTTTTCCAGTCATTTAAACTACCTTCTTTATCAATATAGGTTTATCTGTAGCAAGAGTTATAGCTCTTGTATTCTGTACTAGTTTGTCTGTCTTTGTAGTCAGGTGACATTTGCTTTATTATATAGGTCTTATAGTACATTCTAGAGATCTTAGGGCTGTATTACCCTAACCCCTCCTATTTTTCTAATGTATCTTGCTGGTCTGGTACCATCATACCCCTTATCTATGTTTTTCCTTTCTAAGGTTTCAATTACTTGTAGCTAATTACACCTGAAAATATAAAATAGAGAATTCCAAAAGTGAACAATTAATAAGTTTTTAATGACAATCCATTGTGAGCATTGTGCTGAAAATACACACCATCTTATCCCTTTGTCCCAGTATCTGTGCCACATGTCCCACCTGCCCTACTGCTTCCACAGTTACCAGACCGATTGCTGTTCCCTAACTTCTGCTGTACAAGTCATTTATTTGAAGAAAAATGTTACATTTACACAGCTTTTCTGCAGTATATTGTTTTTTAAGATTTATTTTGTGTGTGTGTGTGTGTGTGTGTGTGTGTCCAGAAGAGGATTTTATATCACCTGGAGCTGGAGTTACAAGTAGTTGTGAGCTGCCTAACATGGGTGCTGGGAACTGACTTTGGATCCTCTGCATACTGAGCCGTATTTCTAGCCCCTTCTATTATATTCTTAAAGTTGATTTTTGGTTGTTAAACTCTTACCATGCCTAATTTATAAAGTGAACTATAGATGTGTTTACATAGAAAGAATTTAATACACACAGGGTTTATACTTTCTGCTATTTCACAAATCCCTTTGAGGCATTGGATGGAACCTAATACAAGAGGATAGGGAAATTATTTACTCACTTTTAACGTAAATATTATTACTATTGCTGCAGGAGCTCCTTCCGCTCCTTTAGCCAATAACCTTTAAGATACAAGCCCACTTGGGCATGGTCTCTTTTGCTTTAAAAAGCAGTGGTAGCCATGTGCTTGCTCTCTTGCTTCCAGCTCCACTTCTGGCTATTAGACTCCTTTACTGGTTGTGCAGAGGGCTGTTGTCTAGGATGGTAATCTATAAGTTTTTCCTTTTAAATAAATAACCCTTTTATTAATCATAATTCCAAACTGGTGTGGGATTGTTTCGTGACTTACACCTCATACCATCTTGTCTAGTTTATATTAAATTTATTAGTATGTTTACTGACATCACATGAGTTTATAATATAGAATTGCATTGTTATAATATTGACTTTTTCTTTGTAACAACCAGGGATCTCTATAGTTGTTAAAGATTGCTGACGTCTTTCAGGGAATTTCTTTTGGCTTGCATATTTCTTGTTACATTACTTCCTAAGTACTTTGTGTTCTTCATTGGCTTTATAAGTGGGGATTTCCTTTTGTAATTACATAGTGAAAACATAAGCCTGTATACTCAAGTTGCAGAGCAAACTCCAAATAGGATAAACCAAAGAAATATGGGTTCAAACTGCTAAACAGTCATAGCATAAATTCTCAAAATCAGTAGACTTTCTTAACCAATAGGTAAAGGTGTTTTAAAGGCATTGAAGTTCTTATCAAAACTCTACAGTCCTGAAGTGTTATGGATTTGTGGGTTAGCAGTAATTTTTTTTCATCTTCTCCAACTGTCTTCAGCTGCCTCTGCTTTTTTCTTTTATAGGGATTCAACTTATATATTAAGTAAAGCTAGATTTCTGAGTGCTAGGGATTACAGGTGTATACCACTGTGCCTATCTTTTTGTTTTGTGCATGGGTGCTAGCAGTTGAACTCTGGTTATTGTGATGCATGGCAAGCACTTTGCCCTCTAATTGGACCCATGATAGCAGCTGTTCATATTATTTTCTTTGGTCTTCTTCATATTCCACCACTCTGAATTCCTCTGAAGATTCAGTAATACATATCAGCTTGGCTAGGATGCTTTGTAGACCACACAGAAATCCAATTTTCCAGCCTTTATTTCCAGAAGATTGTTTTGGAGTAGGAGGCCATGGCAGGATCAAATTTGCTATTTTAAATATATACTTAAGATCTTTGTAATCTCAGTAGTGCAAAATTCAGCTTTGAGTGGATCAGTTTAGAATAGTAATTTAAAACTTGGGCTAGACTATTTTGAGAGATTTGTTTGTATTGCTGTCTGATACTGCCAATAGAGTCAGATCTAGGTTCATAGGGTGGAGTACACACTAAACTGGCCAGGATGGATCATAGAGTTTTATGGCCAACTGAGAGGAAGCTAGAGGGACCATCAGGAGGAGGGAGAGGTCTAAGGATATGCAGGGTTTTTTTTTTTCCCTAGTAGGGGAAGTAGAGAAGAGAACAGGAGATCATTTCTCTGTCACTCCATGGATCTCTCGTTTAGCTGCTCCTATACCAGCTGTTCTAGTGTTTGTAATTTTTCTGATGTCAAAGGCAATTTCCATCCACATAGGTTTTAAAGGTAGGGCTGTTGGGACCACAAGGAGTTGTGTCCAGTTAATGTACAGCCTGAATGGCTTTTGACTGTTCTTGATAATAACTTTTAATATTTCTTTCAGAAGCACTCTTTATTTTTGATTTGTTTCTGAGATTGGAGGAATGTTAATCTGTGTTTTTCAATTCTGCAACAAATCATGTCCCCATAATTTCATTGCTATGTTAGCCACATCCACATATGGTTTTATTTTTCCTGTCTGTCCTCTGACCCTATATACTTGACCCATCCTGTACTTTGTTTTACATGAAATAAAGTTCCAATCCTTACAAGCTGGATATTTACCTCCTAAGAGGCCAATCTGGATGCCAAAATTTTAGTGAAATGATTGTTACATCTGGACCTGTGTCTAGCAAACCTTCAATTAGAATGTCATTTATTCACCTCTTTTACTTTGGTCTTTGATCATTTATAAAAGTTTGCCAAAGTTTTATGGTTTTATGGTCTCTTTCAAAAATTTCTTTTTCTTTATTGAAGCTTTTCTATTATCCAGAGCA